TAGCAATGAACTGAACTGCAAATTAGCCTACCAGGTTTGTTAACAGCTACTGGCTTCTGGTCTGTGATTATTGACTGAAAAAAAATCATCCTGCCACAAAAAATAGATTCGTTAACATTTAAAAGAAAATAAGATATATCGTTGCCGTGAACAACCTCAGTCTAAAGCCCCTATAAAAGGAATTGACTCATGAGGAACTATTTTCTCTTCAGCAACTGCTCATGCTTCATACTTCTGTAGGCATATATAATAGTTTTTAAAAGCAGTTGCCTTTGTACTCTTTAAGTGGCTCTTTTACTAATTCTGCTGCTTTTTGTTTTTAAAGTCTTACGCAATCATTTTTATTGCTTAGAGAGTTTTTTTGTAAATACAGAAGATATTAAAATATGTTTCTTTTAAGTTAAAAGTAGTCAACTTTCTAACTACTGTGTCTTTAGTCAGTTAGCAGTATGCATTAATAAGTTTCTGAATTGTTTGTGTAGACCAAGAATGCATTGACATATAGACAGTCATTTGAGATCTGTTGATGACCTTGATAATTTTTTTCTATCTGGAATTATTAGTTAAACTAGGGAATCTGTGAATATAATTAATGTACACACTTCTTTATTCAGCAAATCCATAGGATAAAGAAGGAATGAAATAGGTTACCTATTACATGTGTTAGAAACTGTAGAAATATATGGGTGTTATCTGTATTCCATGGTACTGTATCTGACTGTAGCTATTAAATTATTGAACAAGGCCTGACATGATAGAAATATCTTTAAATAGTAAAAACTTTCTTCAAAAACAGGATATCAACAGACTAATCTGCATCCATTCTTGTAAACAGAATGGAAAATTGGCATTAGTGTTCATTTACTATCAGCAACTGTTTAACAAAAGCCATTATGTCTAATGAAACATTTAATCTTGTATTTCTCTGAAGATTTCTGTTTGTATGTCAAATTCAGTTTCAAATGTTGCCTCAATTCACCCTTTAGAATGACAGGATATGTAACTAAGGAAAGCACCAAATCTTTTCAATCCCTCTCCAGCATCCTGGACACACTGCTCTTGGACTTGGTGTGCCTGCAGATCCTTTGGAAGTGAAGGGAGCTTGTGGGAGGTAGGGTTATTAAGGCACCCTGACCCGCCTTTCACCGGGGTGGTAACTGGCCTGGCATTTCCTGGGGGCTCCCAAACCACTGAGAGCCCCACCAGGCCACCCACTCCCGGCAGGATCACAAGCATGACCATCAGGAAGCAGCTGGTAGTGCAGGTGTAGGTGATGTTTGTGCCCATTCCAAAATGTCTGCGCACAAAGATTCAACAGCATCCAGTCGCTCAATTTGTACCAGTTTGGTTAGAAGTTCGGGGATACTATAGCCAGCTGTACTGATTCGGTCAAAGAGCTGCATGCCATCTGTCATACCACCTATTTCATCTCTCTTTAATCCAAAGCTCTCTGCAAGGTGGCGCCATGTTTTCACAATGGCTTTTTCAGTGTTGTAGGTTGAGCTGAGCATCCTGCTGGTCTTCTCCAGACAATCAAAAGGCAGTTCTGTGGGACTGAGACCTATCAAAGAGGATATTCTTAGTCAGAAGCTTCAGTACACAGATTTTGATGACTACAGATGTTTCTTACAGAACAGTAAGGATTACTGTAACATTTAATACCATATACTTAAAACAAGATACCACAGTAACTACATCGAAAATTCTCATGTGAATTAACTCAACTGCCTGGTACCCTGCTGACTATGATGTATACTGCCTAAATGAATTGCCCCAAATGACAGTATGGGACTGGTTGAGTCTTGTAAGGAGAGAAAGAAACCTGGAGACAATAAGGGAAGAATGCATGTGGGAATTTGTATGGGAAATGATTCAATATTTACTTATTACTGTATCCCTCTCTTAGCTACCCCAGGTAGCTGGGAAATATATTGCAGAACTATCCCAATGAGCAATTCCACAGATACAGATGTGTGAGTTTAGCGAAGGCATTTTGTTTTTTATTGCAGGCTAGTCAACAGCAGCCAGAGTTCTAGCAGTGTCGAATTCACTTGTTTAATGGCACAGAGAATAATTCATTGATAGTCATCCTGCCCCTCAGATGGGTCTGGGGTAAACTAGATTACCTAATCTGATGTTTCCCTGACTTTGTTGCAAGCAACATCTCTAAACCATAGCTAAGCATGTTCATTTGAAGTTACGCAGAAAACATAACAGGGTGGTACCTTATAGACTAATGTTCAATTAACCTAACCAAGGGTGCTTGGCTCCTGCTTTGCGAGCCCACAAGCAGCAATCCAGCCCCTAGCGCTGGGTTATCTGTGAGGAGCCCTGCAGACCCTGTCCCTGTACTCTAAATGAGGCATGCAGGGTGACACAGGGCCCGATCCCAGCGTGTGAGGGCTGGGCAAGGGTGCCACAGGGACCCTGGAGCCAGCATGCGGGGGTGGTGAATGGCCCAATCTAGCCCACAGACCAGCCTCATGCCTGCAGGGCAAAAACCATGAGCACTGCTGATCCAAACCATTTAGAGTTAGTCTACAAAGTGCCATGTTGCCCTACTTTCTGACTAAGCCAGTTTAGGTGCCCAAGTGAGATCCTATTCCAGCCTTCTTGAGTCCCTGAAAAGCTAACACACAAGGTTGATTGGGTACTCTTCCTATTCTCTGTTTTTTGTGACTTCATCTCAAGGCTAAGATGATAAGGTGTGTTATAAATGTAGGCATCTTAATATTTTTTCAGGGATTTAAGCAGACACATAAATGCAATCCTAGTCTACCCTAAATCTATTTAGATACTTAATATGTGGAATAGGAACTGGCCCTACATATTTTTGTAATGATAAACCGTTCTTGCAGAAATGAGAGGAATGCAGATGCTGCAGTGATGCCTCTTGTCTCCATGTGGAAGCTTTCCAGGCACAGTCCCTTCACAGGTGGTCTTTGTCATCCTTAATGTTAATTTTCAAAGGCTGGGTTTAAGCACTGACCCTAGGGCCAAAGGTTGCTTTTTGCTGGACCATTTTCCATATTGCAAGATACAGTATGGGAATATACACTTCCCAGCACTATCCTCTGATTTATGTGTTTACTTTTTTATATATATATGGAGTTTTTCCTGTTTCATGACCAGTAGCAATGAGCTGAGGTGAGCTGAGACCTACATTTTTCCAGATAACCCACACACAAAGATTTTGTAAAGTGGAAAATAAATATGGTTTTGCCCTTTGTTAAGTGGAGAAACTAATTTGCCTAGACCAGGGATCAGATTACTACCTGCAGGCTGGTTTGACCCTGGGAACCACTGGATCCACCCCATAGGCCAGCTTAAGCTGCAGGCACTCTCCCTGTGCCACTGTGGAGACACACTGGTGGAGGCCAGATCCTAGCACTTGTGCGCCCATCTCTGACTCAGGGTGGGTTATCTGACCTGCAGCCAGAAAAGGTTGCCAGGCTCTGGTCTAGACCATACAGGCAGTCAGGTGTTAAATAGGTGTAACTCTATAAACACTGGTTGACATGGATGTGGTGGTTTCAGGATGTGGTGACAGTGAGGTAGAAGAAAGGCACCTAGGGGCACAGAAAAGCAAAACACTTGTCTGACATAATCTACAACCCCCCCCCCTTTGTCCCCCAACCCAAATCTTATTTTCCAACTTGTTATCAAAACATATTTTAACTAGTTTATCTAACCTGCTTAAAACAAGTAACTTATACAAAGTATGTTCTCCAGATTGGAATTTTCTCTTTGAAGCATGCTTTTTCATACGAAGGTAAAAGGGAGTCTATTCCCAGCAAACAACTGTGATTTAATTCTGTGTACATTTTCTGATTACTTCTTGTTCACACTCACCTTCTGCAACATCACATACATTAGCATATACATCAAAAATCTTTTTCCTTCGACTTTGAATCTAAAGGGAACGAAAACATGTTTTAAACATGTAACGAAAACATGTTTTAAAGAGTTATATTTCATTATATTTTTAGTCAAGTGAAAAGATCATTCCTAGCCAGAGGCAACCAGTCACAATGCAACTGCTCCAATGCTTTAGAAGCTCTTTATTCCAAAGCTCTGAAAACATTGAATTGCATAATGCCTCCTAGGTCTTATGCTGAAGATTCATAACAGAGAACAATACAGTGATTTAAGAATAAACACGCTTTTGTGGTTTCTGCTGTAGG